CAGGTGTCCCCAAGTCAGCTGCTGCTGAAACTGACCAGCGGCTGATTCCAGGAAGCTGGGGCAGAGCAACTCTGTCTCGGGCTTCCTGGAGTCAGCCTCTGGTCAATTTCAGCAGCGGCTGAATCCGGGACAGCTGGGGTGCTGCTGGGTTGGTCCCGCAGCCCCGAGGGGCAGCGCTACTGGACCTACCCGGCAGCACTCCAGCTGTTCTGCCCCCTGCTTCCCGGATTCAGCGCTGGTCAGTTTTAGCAGCGTCTGAATCGGGGAAGCTGGGGGCAGAGCAGCTCCAATGGTCCGGCTGCCCAGAGCACTTCCGGGTTCCTGATGGTGCTGGACCATCAGGAGTGCTGGACTGTCAGATGCCGGACCATCGGAGTTTTACTGTTGTTGTAAAATGTTTTTATTCCATTTTGGCTTTAACACATTTTCATTTAATACGGGTGCATTTATTTGGAACACTTATTACTTTAGATTTCAAATAGTGAATTGGGCATTTTCTTAACTTAAAAAAAAAAGGCAATTACTGACCTCCATTCCTATTTTTAGCTAGTTTATATCTGCTGCTGTGGTGCTTATATTTTAATATTTTTTTTTGTATTTTACAGGGTCTGAGAAACAAGCCGAAGAAAACAGGACATGTGAAGCCAGATCTCATAGATGTTGATCTTGTGAGAGGTAGGGCCTCAGCTAGTAAATACTGAATTTGTTAGTAATTTGAGCTTCTGGGGACAGTTATAAAAATAATTGTTTATCCTGTTAGCCTTGCAGTAGAAAAGTGGAGTATGGCCTATAAAAATGAGAAGATATCTACAGCTAAAGAAACACCAGAAAACCATTGACTCCTTTTTGCATCTAAATTAAATCAATTTAGTTACCTTAATTTATAGGGTTAGTTGATGATGTATATTTATTATAGTTATAATCTTAAGAGGAAAAAAATGTTCTGTTTGTGACAATGACCTTTTTAAGAAACTTCAAAGGAAAGTTCAAGAAATTGTTGAGAATAGTTCAAGGAATAAACTCACCATCAATTGAGAAGGGGTTTGCAGAATCTGTACAGTTATTTCTTGCTCGTAAAACAGATGTATCTGACTATAAGAGTTATTAGCCAATAAGTAGTTTCAGACTACAAATCATTGTCCTGATTGGCTGTTGCCCTGGGAATTCCTAAGCTAAATGCACAATAGACGTGTATATCATCCTGTCACTTACCAGCTTCACTCTGCTTCCAGAATCTGTTGTTTCTTGACCATGGGAAGATTTATATTTCACCACAAGTAGTAACTTTTACTGTATTTTTAGCTTTCCTTCTTCCTTTTTACACAGACACCTCTTTTCATCTTCCTCTTCCTCCCTTTCAGCTTCCTCTTAAATGCTAAATGCTGATCAATCCTGTGAGACTTTGTGAGGAGTCAGTCAGAATCAGGAGGTGAGAGAAAAATGAAACCAGTCCCTAGGTGACACAACAGGAGCTATGAGGAGTTTTGAAAATGGAGTAGTTCTCCTCAGAAGTACCTGCGTTCCCATTTCATACTAGCTCAACTGATGGGAGTGTCTTATAGGGCTGTTCCCTTTCAACCTTTTAGAACAGTGGTCCCCAACGCGGTGCCCGTGGACGCCATGGCGCCCACTGAGGCATTTGTGCACGCCTGCCAACAACCTGGGCCGGCGCGTGGCGCACTGGAGGCGCCGGCCCCACGTGCGCGGCGTTCGGGCGGTCCCAGCCCCAGGGCACATGCGGGCGCTGCGCCAGTGCCGGCTCCAGGCATGCAGCTCGGGCAGCGGTGCTGGCCCATGGCACAAGGCGCTCGGGCGGCCCC